TTTTAATCACATAAATATTTTTTAGTTTTATATGATCAACACTAGTTTAGAATACCAGCTCTTTACATTCCTTATCAATCAACAAAAAGATACTCAGTAATAAGTAACGTAAAAGGAAGTTTTTACTTGAACCTGTACTTGTGTTTTTAGCTGTGAATTATCCTCTCAGTAGCTGTATTTAAGACAGTTTATTTTTTAGTGTTAGAGTGAACTATAACTTGCTTAAACTTATAAGTTTTACTTCATAGATATGTAATTTCTAATTTATCTTTTCTTGGAAATAAAATAGGCCATTAGTTAAGGGCATTTTTACTCAGTCTTTATTATGCTGTAATGGTTTTTAGCCAATTTGTATTAGAACATCACATCAAGATTTATATTTGCTTGTTTTTATTGTTTCAACTGTATATAACTAATTTAACTGTAGATGGGTTTTTATGTAAACCTTTAAATAGGATACTCTTTATACTATGAATAATATACATACCATATGTACATACTAATGTGGAAATTGTGTTTTGAATGGTGTGTCATTTTAAGTTTCATTATCCATTAAGTCATATTTACCAATAAACTTAAAAAGTTTTATAACATTGTAAGAGCCTTTCTTAGGAATGAGATAAACATGTGCTATAATCTTCTTAAGAAACTTTTTCTATTAAGTAACTGATCAACATCAGCTGAATTACTTGGCATACTTTTCTGGGCCTGTAATCTGTCTATACCAATGTTTTTAAACATTAAACTTAAAACTCAGGGGGAAAAGGTTCTTCAACTTGAGATCTTCTCTCCAGATCTCCATTCTTTGGAGTTTCCATGAGTGTGACCTGAAGAACCTGGAACCATTGAAATTCAAATGTAGGTAGGTAAGTGTTCACACCAGCGCATGCATTGATTGCCTTATATCTCTTTGTATATACATCTGTATTGCACCCTCTCAGTGCCTTTCTATCTCTTCCTCCTCATAGATCATGTAGGGCCTGTGTCATCCTGATATTATGTAATTGTGTGATTCTGTATTTTGGTCAGTATTTGTCTGTGATGTGTGTCAGGAGCAATTTTAAAATGTCTTCAGATGTGTTTATGACATTGTGCTGTCTAAAGACTATCACACATAACTGTGTGCTGTGTATGGGCCTGGGTTTCATTTTTGTGAATTGTGTTTATTGAGCTCTGAATAAACATTCCACTGGAGTTGCTGATATTCATTAAGGGAGGCAGAAAGTATCAGTCGTGCATTATTTCACTATCTCAAATGGATCTAGAGATGTGAAGTGTTTCTGGTACTGAGAATTTCTTCCACTTAGTCTTTAACTTAAAAGTTATCCTGGTACCATTCAAGATAACATTAATGTCAGCTACTATCCTTTGAAGTCCATTCACAGCATCTCTGGGCAATTAAAAAAGTGATTCAACATAATCATTTGCTTCCAGTGAAAAGAATTAATACTACTTTATTCTACACACACAGGACTCCTATTTAGCCTTCTCCCCCCCAAATATTTATTGATAGCATACTAAGTTGTAACTGAAATAGGCAAACAGACTCAGTCATGGAATATTCTTCTAGGCTTAAGTAGAGTTTCTACTCAAGTAAGCAAAATCAGATGGTTATGTGCTTAATTAATGTAATTTTGCTCAAAATATCTGACCACCAATATCAAGAATTTCTAGTATGTTTTTTTATTTTTTTATTATCACTTATGCCATACACATTGCTGAATTTCAGAATCTCTTTCATAGTTTTGTTTGTTTGTTTGTGTTTGTTTTGGGTCTACTGTAAAAATTAGAAAATTCTTTGGCAGTGGTCCTTAAACATTTAGTGTCAGGACTCTTTTGGACACTGAGTGGCCAGATTATTATGATCTCTGAATGCATAGTAACCTGGCCACTCAGTTTATATCCTATATAATAAAAAGCTAATATGCAAATTGTCTCCTAGACCAGGACTTTGACCATCAGGCATGCCGGCCAACCGCCTATGACCCCTACCCCTGACCAGGCTGTCCGGACCCCGCCCATTCATGAATTCATGCACTGAGCCTCTAATAAATATATATATTTAAATATATGTATTTAAATATAATACATAAGTTGAGACATTTTTAAAATTATTTAGTATTTTTAAAATAATAAAACCCCACTATATGTTAATATAAATAACACTTGTATGAAAAATAACTTCAAAATTTAAAAATACTAAATAAGCATAGCATTTATTTTACTGTGTGATGGTGAAGAATATGACTACTAATACAATTGGGTGTCACTGACTGCATTCACACTAAAGCCCCAGCAGTTTTACTTGCCAATGTGTTTTCACCATCATTGCAAATGTCAATACAGTAAAAAGGCAAATAAAATATTGATAAATTTATGAAAGTAGTTTTGACTTTGTGATCCTAGAAGGGTTTTGGAGATTCTACTTTGAGAACCATGTTCTAGGATGCCTGCTTATCATAAGAAAATTAGTATCAACCTGTTAAATTTTTTTCTTCTTCTTCTGGGCCTTCATTATCCAAGTCTCCTTGCTTGATTTTAGAGTTATTTGAGCATAAATTTTGTTTTAGCTAGCATCATAGAATTAGATTTTAAAGAAAACAGCCAAGTATTCTAAAGTGAGTCTCTTCATTGGATAACTATACAGTTTTCTCTTCATACTTGTGTGTGGTTTATTGTATGTGAGTATACAATTAATTTGCTCCTGGGTAGTAGTAAAATACGTTTTCATGAAGCAACATGATTTTATTGAATTATGGCGAGTCACACCATGTGCCATTGTGATGAGCTACATTTTTTTTTCCTGCTCTATCACAATTTCAAATATTATTGCTTCAATTTGTATGCCAAAGATTGTATGAAACTCTGAAACATTTCTTAACTTTTTGTCCACTCTTTTCCCTGGAACCAAAATTCATAATACTGTAAAAGTGGTCCATGAAAGTAGTAGAGATGCCCATTTAGGAGACCATTAACATCATCTTCTAACTGGCATTCTCCTGTTGAGTTATCTCCTTTGCAGAATTTGTTATTCTTCTAATGTCCCTGGACGGTGGGATTTTTATGATTTGTACCAACAGTACTGAGGGGGGTGTGTGATGCTTACATATATGCAGATATATAGCGGAGTTTGACTCACACTCAATGCATGCGCTAGTGCTCACGCTTACATACCTGAAATTTAATGATTTCAACAGCTCTGCGGTATTTGAAGAGGTAGTAAAAACGAATAAATAAATAATTGAAAGTTTAAAATACTGCTAAAGAGCAAGGATCTGCAGGTGACTCAATATTAAAGAACTCTATCTACTGGTAAGTAATCCACGTAATTTCTAACTTGGAAAGCTTCTCCATGTGCTGCGCCTCTAATATAGGTATAATACTGTATCCTATAACAAGTAATTTGCCTATAAGATGCATATTGTGAATCATTTATTAGTTGCTGAATTGTATAGTTAGGAAAAAATATTGAACATCAAAAGCCTAAAAACAGATCATTTAGTTGATTATTTTATTTCTGTCTCTTTTTAAAAGTCTTAATAGTTCTATTGCAAAATTTGAAATTGTTTTAGACTATCTGAACTCAAAATTTAAACTTCCTTCCACCCGCCTCCCCCCCCTCCCCCCGAGACCTGTTTTTTATTCTTGTTTTGGTTATAGGCCCCTTTCTAGTATAGATAGTCTCCCACAACTGAACGAGATAATATTTGTAATTGTCCACTCATCAGTTTTCAGGGCCATCAGCCTCTGTTGGCTATCTCTTCATACTTTCTAAAGGTAGGAAAAATTAACTATAAAGACCACCAGGTGAATAATCATCTGGCATGTGATACAGCTCAACCCTGTCTTTATGATCTTTTCTGGTAATCACTCAACCAGAGTGATCCGTATCTATAGGTTAAGAATTATAAAGAGATTAGTAAGCAAACTGTCAAGGAAAGCATGCTGTGAGGAAAATTTGTATTGTGAAAAACAGATTTTTATCTTTAGATTCCCAGTAGGCAACTTACTAGAATTTGGAGAAAATTATTAGCTTGAAAATGACATACAATTTTTAAAGAAAAATAATTGATAACTTTCCTGTATCTTTGGATGAACCACTTATCAACAGTAACTTGATGTTTTGCATAGACATGTGTTTATGTCTTATCTTATTCTAAGAAGCAGTACTTAGGGTTGGCATTTTGGTTTATTTATTTTCAACTTTGTTACAGGTATTCTATTGTAAATGAAGAAGCATTGTGGAAATCCAAGTCATATTAAGTACTTTAAATTCAGTTAGTTTCTTAGAATATGAAGACAAGCATTGATGACAAAACCATACTGACCTCATTTTCATTCTCTTCACCTATCAAGCCAAATTTTCCTTTCTTTGTTGATTGTTACTATTATTAAATACCAATTTGAGAAGAAAAATATTTTAAGTAACTCTTTCTTTCCTTGTTGAAACATCCTAGCAGTCATTGGAGAATGCTCGGCTGCAATTAAAAATTTTTGTGAATTACATGTTTATACTTTTTATTCTTTATTAAGTTATTCTAATTGTCTTCTCTCTTGGTCTTTATTAAAACTTGCTTTTTAAAAATGCTTTTTATATACTCTGATTTCTTGTGATGCAGATGTTACCCAGTCTAACCTTTTTATTTAAAAACCAATGGTAATGTTTATTCATTTATACATCTTTAAAGTCTACGTTGCAAAGGTATAAGAGCCTCTTTAAACACACACACACACACACACACACACACACACACACTAATGTTTGATGCATTATTTCAATTATTTTTATTTCTAAATTTCTTTTAATTATTGGAAATATTCAAGACTCAACTCTTCTGAACTAATGTCTTTAAATTTTCAATACAATTTTATGAATGGACTTAATTTTATTTTACTGTCATTGAAATAGTACTGAGTTTGCAATAAAGAGAATAAGAGGTGTTTTTCTTTTTACTAATGTCTCTTTGGTACAAAAAAAATTTTTTTGTTTGATTTTGCAGATTCCCTTCAGGCTCAGCTTATCAATATGGGTGTTATTCCTACCCTAGTGTCATTACTGGGCATCCACTACCAAAATGCAGCTCTTACAGAAATGTGTCTCGTAGCATTTGGCAATTTAGCAGAACTTGGTAAGTCTTGGTCATGAACCACTAATGTAGTCAACTTATTAATGTACTTAAATTTTTCTTTGGATATTAACAACATGGAAACCCATTTAGATTATATTAGATTATTTCTTTAAAGCATTATAGATATTTGCTTTAATGTTAAAGAAATATAGATCGAAGTATATCTTAAAATTGTATTATTTAAAATTGAGAACTATTTTTGCTTCCCTAATTGTTTCATATATTGAAATTTAAGTGTTGTATTTATATTATTTAATAGAGTTGAACATTTAAAATGATCACCCTTGACTTTAGTATTTTTACATGAGTGATCATCTTAAAATCAAGTAATTATATTTCTAGGGCAAAAAGAAAGGACTTCATAATTTATTGCATTTTCAAATGAAAAGGAATCTATCAGTCTACGGTCTCTCCTCCTCTTTTTACAAAGTCCCTAAAAATGATAGGACAATTTTTCATAAGAATATATTTGTAATGGAATAGAAAAATTATGAGAACTCCTTGCAAATCAGAAGTCAGGCAAAAACAGACCAATGCTAGAAATAGTCCAGTTATAGCAGAGAAGAGGACTAATGACCCCAGCACCCGTTTTCCTTTTCTTTGTTTTATTTTTCTCTATATCACGTGTAGTACTCTTTCCTCTCTCCTTCCTTCCCATAATAGGAAGTTACAACTCCTAGTCTGAATTTACTGCACAACTATGTTCATAAATTATTTATTCTGGAGACAATGAAACCAAATGATGTTTTGTCATAGGTAAATATAATAGCTACTACAAAAAATAAATCTATTATTTATTCTTATTTTATACATAAACTAGAGGCCCAGTGTATGAAATTCATGCACAGAATGGGGGGTGTCCCTCAGCCCAGCCTGCACCCTCTTGAAATCCAGGACTCCTTGGACATCTCTCTCGCAATCTAGGACTGCTGGCTCCTAACAAATCACCTGCCTGCCTGCCTACCTGCCTCATTGCCTCTAACTACTCTGCCTGCCTGCCTGCCTCATCGACCCTAATTGTCTCTGCCTGCCTGCCTCATTGCCCCTAACCACTCGCCTGCCTGCCTGATCACCCCTAACCACACTGCCTTCCTTCCTGATCACCCATAACTGCTCACCTGCCTTTCTGATCACCCCTAACTGCTTACCTGCCTGCCTCATTGCCCCTAACTGCCTGCCTGCCTGCCTGCCTGATCACCTCTAACTGCTCTGCCTTGGCCCCTGCTGCTGTGGCTTCATCCGGAAGGATGTCCAAAATGACATTTGGAAGGTCGTTGGGCTGTTCGGTCTAATTAGCATATTTGCTTTTATTATTACAGATAAACAGAAGCACCAGAACTCTAAACTTGGATTTTCTAACTGAAAGTTTAGGTCCTTATACATTATTAAAATCTTGATTTCAGTACTTTACTTTTGCTTTGACTTCAAGTTAAAAGAACAGAGATTATCACAGTTAATTTTAAAATTCATTCTTTTTCAGTGGGTCATCTGCTGATATTTGTGAACCTTTTTTCTCCCCTCTGTTTTTCTTCTTTCTCATACTGTCTCATTATTTCCAATATTAAGTAAGATTAAGAATGAAAGAATATTTATTTACTTTTCACAAGCTATTACTTTCCATTATTAAAATGGAATGTGAGAGTTTGTGTTCAGTATAGTTTATAGATTAAAACAAATTGTGTTTTAATCCCTGGTACTGTAAAATCTGTAATGGAAACAAACAACATTTCATATGAATTGCCTGTGTTAAGATATTAGAAGTTGTTTGGGAATTATATAGACCACCTAAATTTCCCTGGTCTATAGTAAAAAATGGATATGCACCAATTTAGTTTAGCCCAGTTTCATACTCTGTTCCCAGCTGTTGCTGCTCTCACCCCCTTTATTTTCGAAGATTTTTAGAGTTTATATCATGAGTCTTGTGCCCATGTAATAGCTAGGTTATATATCACCACCAAAGTAGAGCATGTATATCCCAGCATACTGTTTCTCTTTTCAGTAGGCTTAATGGGGCCTATGAGTTAACAAATCACATAGTATTATTTTGATTGACACAACTATGTATCAAGGTCATAACACATTCCTGGTAGTATGAATATGGGATACTATTATCCTATATAACAATCTTAAATAATAAAAAGGTAATATACAAGTTGACATCACTCCAACACACAAGATGGCCGCCCCCATGTGGACACAAGATGGCCAGCAGGGTAGGGCAGTTGGGTGAGACCAGGCCTGCAAGGGAGGGCATTGGGGGTGATAAGGCCAGCAGATGAGGGTAGTTAGGGGCAACTTGGCTGGCAAGGGAGGGAAGTGGGGGGGAGGGGAGATCAGGCCTGTAGGGAGGGTAATTGTGGGGGACCAGGCCTGCAGGAGAGCACAGTTGGGGAGGACCAGGCTGGCAAGGGGGGTGGGCATTAAGGGCAATTGGGCCAGTAGGAGAGGGCAGTTAGGGCTAACCTGGCTGGCAAGGGAGGGAAGTTAGGGGTGACTAAACTAGCAGGGGAGGGCAGTTAGGGGCAACTAGGCCTGCAGAGGTAGATAGTTAGGGACAGCCAAGCCTGCTGGGAGGGCAATTGGGGGCAACCAGGCCAGCAGGGGAGGGCAGTTAGGGGTGACCGGCCTGGCAAGGGAGGGCAGTTAGGAGTGACTGAGCCAGCAAGGGAAAGCAGTTGGGGCAACCAGGTTGGGAAGGGAGCAGTTAGGCGTCAATCAGGCTGGCAGGGGGTGATCAGGTTGGCAGGCAGGCAGGCAGGCGAGCTGTTGGGAGCCAGCAGTCCTGAATTGTGAGAGGGATGTCCGACAGCCTGTATAGGCCTGATCGCCCCTAATGTTCTCCCTGCTGGCCCAGTGGGATTGGGCCTATACAGGCAGTTGGGCATTCCTCGAGGGGTCCCAAATTGGAGAGGGTGCAGGCTGAGCTGAGGGGTTATTTCCACTCTCCCCTCCCCCCCCAACCCCATGCACAAATTTCGTGCACCTGGCCTCTAGTACTATCATGGAATTAAAGTACATAATTTTATAGATTGGAAGGGTCTGTCAGATGCCTTACCTAATAGATGAAAATAGGCCCAGACTGTAGCATATCAATGAGAAATTTTAGGATAATGGAGAAAAGAACATTTTATAGGCATTGTATACAAAAGACTGTGAATCAGTACCCATCAATTGTCTCAAAACAACACTGGCAGCCAAAAGAAAATAGAGTTATAATAAAGACATTGTCAAACATGAACATCTCAGAAAATTTATATACTTCATAACTTTCCTCTGGAAACTGCTGTAAGATGTGCTCCACCATTGCAAGGTAATTAAGTTATGAAAGAATTCAACGTAGGAATCTGGATACAAGAAATCCAACAGAAAACAAAAATTCCTGGTAGTATGGTGACATGAGAGCCCCAAATGGTCAGTGTTCAAAGAGCACCCAGTTAAGATTGGAACAAATCAGAAAGCTGCTGACGTCAGGGTTGGGGAAATTTGTATAGGACATGAAATTGACCAAATGTTAAAAGTGAATGGGCTTAGTAAGAGATGATTAGACACTGATGGAGTGTTTGGAGTTAAATTTATGATAAGAACTTAGAAAGCAAATGAGAAAACAATAATTGCAGGGCAAATGAAATAGTATATTATTAAAGCACTAGTAATTTATATATATATATATATATATATATATATATACACACACACACACACATATATATATATATCTGTGTGTGTGTGTGTGTGTGTGTGTGTGTGTATATATATATATATATATATATATATATATATATATGAGAAATATGCGTAATGGTCATGACCAACTCAGGAGGAGGGGCCAGGCATGGCACAGCCCGGAGCCGGAGAGAAGAACGCACGGGGTACCTTCTGGGTGCCTCTGCAGCGAGTCTGGGAGCAGGCCCCCAGCGGACACACACACAGCGCCTGCTCCAAGCCTTCATGGCACAGTCTGACATGCCCTCATCCTTCTCCCTATCTTATATCCTGTAATTATTGTTCCTTATTTTGACAGTAACTTGAATGAACCAAGTAGCACTATCACATTCCAGTTAAAAGATCATCAATTACATTGAAACTACACTTTCACTTCATCTCTGCCACTATTTCCAAGGCTGTACTCTGAGTCTTATCACCACCTGCAACTGCTAACATCAGAAATCATAGCATGGCCCTGGCCAGCATTGTTCAGTGGTTAGAGTGTCCACCTGCCCACTGAAGCATCTCAGGTTCAAGGGCACAAACCTGGGTTGCAGGTTCAAATCATCAGCCTTGTTCAGGGCAGATGGCAGAAGTCAACCAATTTATGTGTCTCTCACCTCTCTCTCTCTCTCTCTCTCTCTCTCTCTCTCTCTCTCTCTCTCTCTCTCGCGCGCGCGCGCGCGCGCGCTCTCTCCCCTCCCCCAAAATGGAAAAATAAATCATAGTATGTTGTCCCTGATGTCCTATATGATTTTTCTTTTCTGGCCTATGAATGATCTCCTCCTCCTTCAGCCCATTCATATTATTCTTTGCATAGTCTGGGCTGTGGGTTTACCTGCATCAGTGGAGAAATAGAGCCCCCACTAGGTATTTCAAACAGATAGAATTTAATATTGGGAATTGGTTACCAAAGGGTTGGAAAGGAAAGGCTAGAAGAGAAGGAAAACAAAAGTGAAGTTAGAGATTAATAGCTACAGGAAGCCATTCTCACTCTCATGGATAAAGGAGCCAGATCATGCCCTGCTGAGGCTGCTGAGAACGTGCTGCTGCCATTGGAACGGTGCTGCCAAGGAAGACAACCACCTTCAGACTGCACTGCCCCTGCCCCTGCCCCTGCCCCTGCCACCACCCTGGCTGAGCCGAGTGAGGAGCAGAGAGTGGAGCGTCTCCACTCTGCCCAGGCTCCGCAGTGAGAAGTTAGCTGCCAAGGGCATCTAGGAAACAGTTTCCCCTGAACTACGGGGAAGCACAGAAGGGCACAGATGGAGCTCTGAGCCAACAGACAAGACCTACCCTTTGCCTATTCAGCATTTATTCTCACATTTACCCTACATTAAACTTCCAGGAACAATAGCAGGATCACACAAATATCCCTGAAATAATTCAGGTTGTTATCATTTTCCCAAGAGAGGCAGAAGGCCTCATCAGTCATTATTTCCATCTCTAGGTGATCTGCTCCCATTTGAATTTTCTTAGAATAAAGGTAATCATCTAATATTTCTTATCCTATCTAATAAAAGAGTAATATGCAAGTTGACCATCACACCAAGACACAAGTTGGCCCCCACAAGATGGCTGGTGGGGGAGGGCAGTTGGGATGGCCCAGGCCTGCAGGGGAGGCAGTTGGGGGGGACCAGGCCTGCAGGGAGGACAGTTGGGGGGGATGGACCCAAGCCTGCAAGGGAGGACAGTTGAGAGGGACCAGGCATGCAGGGGAGGGCAATTAGGGGTGACCAGGCTAGCTGGGAAGGGCAATTGAGGGCAGGCAGGCCTGCAGGGGAGGACAGTTAGGGGCAACTAATCTGGCAGGGGAGGGCAGTTAGGGTTGACCAGGTTGGCAGGGGAAGGTTGTTAGGGGCAATCAGGTCATCCAGGGAGCAGTTAGGTTTCTATTAGGCTGGTAGTGAAGTGGTCAGGGGGTGATCAGTCTGGCAGGCAGAAGCTGTTAAGGGCAATCAGGCAGAGCAGGTGAGCAGTTGGGAGCCAACAGTCCTGGATTGTGAGAGGGATGTCCGACCGTTTAGGCCCTATCCCGGTGGGTCAGACATCCCTCAAAGAGTCCCATATATGAGAGGATCAGACGGGGCTGAGGTACACACAGACATACACCCATGCACGAATTTCGTGCACTGGGCCTCTAGTCTATAATAATAAAAGTGTAATAAGCTAATTAGACTGGATAGCCGAACAACCTTCCAGACATCATTCCGGCTGTCTTTCTGGACAAAGCTGTGGCAGTGGGGCCAAGGCAGGCAAGAGAGTGGTCAAGGGCAATCAGGCAGGTAGGTAGATGGGTTAGGGGAAATGATGCAGGCAGGCAAGTAGTGATTAGGGCTGATTAGGCAGGTGAGTGGTTACGGGCGATCTGGCAGGTAGGCACAGTGGTTACAGGTGATCAGGCAGGCAGGCAGAGGGGTTAGGGTGATCAGGGAGGCAGGCCAAGTGGTTAGTGGAGATCAGGCAGGCAGGCAAGTGGTTGGGAGCCAGCGATTGCAGATTGCTAGAGGGTGCAGGCCAGGCTGAAGGACTTCCCCCTTCCCTGCACTGATTTCATGCAGCAGGCCTCTAGTTACATTATAATTACATTGAGAATACGGAGGTATATGGTTTAGACGGGGGAGGGGAAGGGTTAAGAAAGCTGATGCTTCATCTTTCATAATAGATATGAAAGATATCTATTTTTAATGAAAAGTTTTAATTTTCATAAAAAATTCCAGGATGTATCCCCTAAACAGAGAGCAACCAGTGTAGATTGAATTTGTTCAGAATTCTTTTGAGAGAAACTTATAGATAAACTAATATGATATCTGATACAGCAAAAGAAATTGAGAAGAGAATTGGAAAGAAATGGACCCAATTATGTGTGGACCCAAAACCAGCCTAAAGTAAGATTAGGAATTAATACATGTGAGTTAAGAAAGTAGAGAGTGTATGTAAACAATGCTGTTAAGAAACTTGTTTGTAAAAGTGAACAGAGATGGATGATATTTGAAGAAAAGTGGAGTAAAGGGAAGGTGTTATTTTTTATATTGCTTTTTTTATGTGATGCTCTAGAATGGAGGAGAGGTTGGATATGTGAAAAAAACAAGAATGAGTGGGACCCCAAATACATGTGAAGAATTGATCGGCTTTTAAAATAGGCATATCAGGATCAGTGCGAACTCACACCACTTTAATGATATAAAGATTAGTCATCTTTAATTCAACCACATAAAGTTCAGTCTGTTCTGAGTAATTTTTTTTTTTTGACAAAACCTTGAAACGGAATTTAAAACTTAGTAATTTTATTGTTGCTATGTCATGGTAATGATCATTTTTTTATAGTCTTGACCATAATTGGGTTAGAACATTTTCTTTAAAGCCTTAGTCATTTTTTTTTCTTTTCAGGGGCATTAGAAAAAGGATTTGATAATTCCTGTATTTGAAGAGTGTTTATCTGTAATGGTATACAATGACCAAGTATTGGAAGTAATAGGAAACAAACAATTTCTGACTTTAATTTTATTTGCTTACCATAAATTTTCCTTTTTTTTTTTTTTTTTAACAGAGTCCAGTAAAGAACAGTTTGCCAGTACAAACATTGCTGAAGAGATGGTAAAACTATTCCAGAAACAAACAGAACATGATAAGAGGGAAATGATTTTTGAAGTTCTTGCTCCATTGGCAGAAAATGGTGAGAAAATAAATGCATCTTGATTTTTTTTTTTTTTATCATGTAGGTCTTTTCCATTTTTTTCTGACATTATTTAATTGCTAGCCATTTAATTGATTTATTAATGATGAAAGTTTGAATTTAGATATCTCTAACTTCAGCTACATTATCTACTTCATAACTGTATCTACATTGGCCAAAGCTACTGTTCAAATTCATTCAACTTGGAAGTCTTGATAAAGATGGTTCTATAGCTTACACATTCTTATGCTGATCTGGGAAAGGTAGCTGAGAGCCTGAAACCCACTTTTGTACCCTTGCAGAGCAAAGAGGATGAAAGTTGGAGTTCTTGGCCTGTCTACAGTGTAGACACTGGTAAACTACTCCTGTGTTTGGGGGGGAAAAATCTTAAGGGATACACCCTAGGAATAAGAGTGATCCAGAATAAATAAACCATTCCATATGAATAATTTTTCAAATACAGTGTCTAGCATATAATCAAAGAGGACCAGACACATGTGGAGACAAGACATTGTAAGCAAGAACCAGCACTAAGAACAGGCAACAGCAGCAAATCTCCAGATATTGAAATTATTAGACATTGACTCAAAACAGGTATGCTTATTATTCAAAGCAAGCTTAAAAATTTTAGAAGGAAACTGAAAACTCTAAAACATGACATGACAAATTTGAAAAAAAAAAAATTGGAAATTCTGGTATTGAAAAATAAAACCCAAATTAATGGATGGAAATGACAAATTAAATGTAGTTGATTTGGGGAACTAGTGAACTGGAAAACAGATTGAAAGGACATCCAGAAAGATAAGAACCAATATGCATAAAACATACTAAGAGATACAGAGGATAAATGAGCAGTTCTCACATACATTTCTGGGAATTCCCAAAAGGGTGGGAGGAGGGTAGAGAGCAGAGGATGTATTTAAAGAAATTTTGGTAGAGAATTTCAAAAAATTCAAGAAGCCAAATGAATCTAAAACATGATAAAAATAAATCTACATCATATTGAAATTATAGAAAAACCAATGACAAAAATCTAAAAATAGCCAGGAAAAAAAAAATAGCTTATTTTAAAAGGGCAACTGTTCAACTGACAGCTAACTTCTCAATAGCAACAATGAAAACCAGATGACAGTGAAACATCTATGCACTGAAAAAAAAATGTCAACTTGGAGTTCTAAATTCAGTGAAATACCCTTCAAAATTGAAGGCAAAATAAAGTTATTTTCAGATGAAAAACAAAGTTCACCACCACTATACAGTCACTAAAGGAAATTGTAATGCGTGTTTGTGAGAGAAAAATGCTTCCAGAAGGAAGGTGTTAGATGCATAGGAAAATAGAGAGCAAAAAACTAGTAAGTAGATAAATTTCATGAACATTGATTTTAAAAATAAATAAGTAATTTATGGTGGGGTTTAAATATATATATATATATATATATATATATATATATATATATATATATATATCCCAAAATAAACATAAATCTTGAAGGAGGTGAAAGGTCTTAAAGACTCTTGTATTAGTTAAAGGATGGTGTGGTATTGGTGCAAGGATGGGCAAAAAGACCAGTAGAACAGGATAGAAAGTACCAATAGACTCTGGTTATTCAAAGATTTCAACTTTTAATGTGACTGCTAAAATAATTTTTTAAAACCATCTATAATTACCAAATTAATGGAAGAATTTATGGAAAGATTTAAGCAAACTGAAAGGTAAATCAAAAGGAAGTTCAGAAAGAAAAGAAAAACAATAAGGATATAGAATATGTGAACAACATGATTAAGAAATTGGCTTAATAGACATATTTCAGAGCACTGTACCCAACTACAGAGCCCTTTCTTTTCAACTACACATGAAACACTTTAAATCATAGTCGTGAAACAAGTTTCAACAAATTCAAAGGACTGCAGTCTTGCAGAGTATGTTCCCTGACTTATGTGGGTTGTCTAATAAAAATATAACTAGGAATTCCTATTTAGGTATTTAAAAATAACACTGCTAATATTTAGGAGGTCAAAGAAGAATCATGATGGAAATTAGGACATTTTCTGTAGTGAAAATGAAAAGACTCTTATGGATGTAGGTAAAGCCATACTTAAGAGGAATTTTTTTTGCTTTAAATGAATATATTAGAAAAGGAAAAAGTAAAAGTAGTGAGCTTAGTATTCATCTCAGAAACTTAGGGGGAAGGAAGCCAAACAACATTGAAAGAAGGAAACAAAGAGCTGAAATTGGTAAGATAGAAAATACAAAATGAATACAAGCATATAAGTCACCAAAGTTGAGTCTGAAGTAAATTAATAAAACTTGTAAATCCTTCATAAGTTGATCAGAAAGAAAAGAGAGAGAGAGAGAGAAGACATATAATGAAAATCAAGAATGTAAAAAGAGATCCTACTACTGATCTTACAGAAATTATTAAGAGGATATATGAACAAGTTGATGCCAATACGTTTTAAAGTATGGATGACACAAGAAGAAATAGAAAAGCTGAGTAATCTTAAATTTTTCCAGAGAATAATAAAAGCAGATATACTCACCAATTTATGAGACTACTGTAATCTTTATACCAAATAGAAAGATAGTACAAGAATGAAAATTAAAAGCCAGTTTCACCATGAAATTAGATCCAAATTCCCCCTTAAAATTTTAGTAAATGAAGCCCAGTAATATATTTAAAATTTATCCTCAAAGCAAATGGGACTTATTCTGAAAATATAAAACATTTTAATAGTGAAAATATAATCAATATATCTTATTACATTAAAAATTATTAAAGGGGAGAAATTATATGATCTTCTTAGATTAAGAAAAGCATTTAATACAATTAACTATGCATTCATGATTTATAAAAACTTTGCAAATCAGCACTAGAAGAGAACGAAAAGGATATATACCAGAAGCCTACAGAAAACAATATAATGATGAAACAAAAAGCATTTCCTTTCATGTTGGGACTAAAAAGGATCATTCCTATTTCTAGTTATTGTAAGAACTATCCAGTACAGTAAAATAAGAAAGAAATATATAGTAGAGAAATAAATAAAACAATATTTATTTCTAGGTTATATGTTTATGTCGGAAATCCAAAAGAATCCATAGATCAATTTTTAAAAATTAATCAAAATTAGTTAGATTGCTAGCCAAAACAAACAAACAAACAAAATCTAAAAATGGTTTTATTGTGTACCAGCAAAGAAAATAGGAAACTCATTTTAAAAAATACATTTTTACCATAGTATAAAATATTAAATACTGTAAGGACAGACTAATAAATATTTAAGATCTCTGGCAGAAAACTATAGGAAATCATTAAGAGAAATTAGAGAAGATCTAAATTAATGGGAAGCTATATCACTTTCATAGGTTGGAAACCTCAGTGCTCTAATGAAGTTATATCTACCCATCTTGGTCTGTAGACTCAGTGAAGTTTAACCAAAACCCCAAAGACCAGGAATAGCCAAGATACTGTGAAAGAGAACAAGATAGCAGCAGAACTGTTTCACTGCATAACAATATTTAAAGATTTATTCCGATGAAACTCTAATAATTAAAGGACAGTGTGGTACTGGTGCAAGAATGGAAAAAAGACCAGTAGAACAGGATAGCCCAAAGACAAATGGATACGTTTATAGATGTTTATTTATTAGGGAGTAAAAGGAATTCACTGTAAAACAGTATAGGAAGTACAGTCATTTCAATCAGCAGTGCTGGGAATAAGAAAAAAAAATACAATAGGAGAGACATATATCCCCACTTTATACTATATTAAAATTATATTAAAAATTAATTTCAGATAGATTATTGACCTATATGTGAAAATTAAACCAGAAATTTTATATTAAAATATAAGGTAGGAGAATATCATCAAGATCTTAGAGTATGAATAATTTTCTTAGGTCACAAAAAATTCTAACCATAAAGGAAAAAAATGATCAATTTGGACACTTAAGAATAAAAAGGAAGACAGTGGGGGAGAGAACATATTTACAACATATAACCAAGAAAATGTGTACAATATGTTAAAACTTCCACAAATCATTAAGAAAAATGTAGAAAACCCAGTGGGGAAAATGTGTAAAAGATTAGAATAAGTATTTGATAAAGATAAAGTCCAAATGGCTATTAAACACATAAAAATATTTGCAACTGGTCATCTCATACACCAGTTCTTGATCAGGGTACATACCTAGATTGCTGGCTCTATCTTTCTCTCTTCCCTCTCCCTCTCTCTAAAATCAATACGCATATCCTTGGATAAGGATTAATGCTCAACTCCTTAATAATAAGGGAATGCAAAATACAATACTACATACCACTGACAAGCCTGATTATACCAAGCATTGATGAAGGTTTGTAGCAGTAGGAGTTATCATCAAGTGCTGGTGGAAAGTAAATTGGTACATTTTAGAAAACAGGATCTACTGAGTTGGAGTTATTTATTCCCTATGATCCAGAAATATGTGCACCAGGAATCATTAAAGGAATGTTCATAGCAGCATCCTATATAACAAAAGCCTAATATGCAAATCTACCTAACGGCAGAACGACCAGTCTCTGTGACACACACTGACCGCCATGGGGAAGATGCTCAATGCAGGAGCTTCCCCCTGATGGTCAGTGCACTCCCACAGGAGGAATGCCACTCAGCCAGAAGCTGGGCTTATGTCTGGTGAGCACAGTGGTGGTGGCAGGAGTCTCCCACTGCCTCCACTGCAGGTGGGGGGTAAGGAGTGAGGGTCCCAGACTGGGAGAGGGATGTCTGCCAGCTAAGCCCGATCACAGGGGGATCGAACCTAAGCTGGGAGGTGGACATCCCCTGAGGGGTCCCAGACTGTGAGAATGTGCAGGGGACCCCCCCCCCCCCCACACACACACACACACACACAGTGCACACATCTCATGCACCGGGCCCCTAGCTATTCAAAACGATGAACATTGTAAGCAGCTCATTTCCATTATGTAAGCAACTCATATTCATTAACAGTAGAATACATAAATCATGGTATCTAGACTAATAGCCTAGGGCCATCATAACCCAGATGGACATCCGGTCACCAGTAAGTGCATGGAGCACCTCTTGGTTCCTCCCCTGCAAGCCCACAGGCTCCTATCACAGCGAAGCTGGTGGAAGGTGGGTGGGGCAAGGTGAGCCTGTGAGGTCATTAGCCGCTGTCCCAGGGCTGGGCTGGAGGCCTAACGACCTCACTGCTGCCTCAGCACCTGCAGACCAATCCCAGAGAGAGAGAGACTGGGAGAGAGAGGCAGGGCCTGATCCGCAGCCTCCACGGCTGCTGGTGGGGGGGGGGGGGGGGGGGGGGGCAGGGAGGCCTGAACCCTAGCTGCCATGGAGGCTGCGGATCAGACCTGGAGAGAAAGATAGCTGTCAGTGGGGCTGTTCTGGATTTCTCAGAAGAGCCCATGGCTGCCTAGGAAGTGGAGCTTTTGACCCTGAATGGCATATAAACCGACCAATCAGAACCAAATCTGGGTGAACTGCAAGGAGCCAATGGCTGCCTAGGAGGCAGAGCTTTTGACACTGACTGGCATAGAAACCAACCAATCAGAACCTAATCTGGGTGAACTGTGAAGGCAGAACCTAATGTGGGGGCTGAGGAGGGGTTTTAAGGGCAACAGCTATTTGGTGTAAGGTGTAAGAAAGTAGTTCTGTTTTTTAATAACCAGTTTGGCCATATAGTGCATATGGCTGGCTATCAGTCCAGATATAGGGATTATATATTTTTGTCTGCAAAGAGCATCTCCTGCTGAAAAAGGCTCCTTCACCTCTCCCCCTCCCCCCCTTTAAGCAGTCCTATGCAATGTAATCTATACTAATAAAAGGGTAATATGCTAATTAGACTGGTTGCCAAGCCATCTTCTGGACATCTGACTTCCTTCCAGACAAAGCTGTGGTGGTGGGGGCTGAGGCAGAAGCAGTTAGGGGCAATCAGGCCAGCAAGGGAGGGCAGTTGGGGGTAACCAGGCTGGCAGGGGAGGGAAGTTAGGGGCCATCAGACATGCTGGGGAAAGCAGGCAGTAAGGAGAGAGCACTTAGGAGCGATCAGGCTGGCAGGAGAGAACAGTTGGGGGCAATCAGGCCAGCAGGGGATCAGTTAGGGGTGATCAGACAGGCAGGCAGAGGCGTTTAGGGGTAATCAGGCAGGCAGGCAGGTGAGCAGTTAGGAGCCAGCAGTCTCATATTGCGAGAGGGATGTCTGTCTGCCGATTTAGGCCAGATCCCACAGGGGGTCCCTGATTGGAGAGGGTGCAGGCTGGGCTGAGGGAACCTCCCCCTTCCCCCTGTGCATGAATTTCGTGCACTGTGCCTCTATTATTTAGAGAATGTAAAAATATATAGTTAAGAAACGAAATGAAGATATTGAAAAACCAATAATGTAGCCCAGCTGGTATGGATCAATGGTTGAGTGTCAGTCTAACCAGGATGCTACGGTTCGATGCCCAGTCAGGGCACACGCCCAGGAGTTGGGCTTGATCCCCAGTATGGTGAGCAGGAGGCAGCCGATCAATGATTACTCCTCATCATTGATGTTTCTTTCTCTTCTCTCCATCTTCTTTCCTCTCTGAAATCAATAAAAATATATTAGAAAAATAAAGCAAATCTTATAAACATAAAAAGGAAAAAGCCAACACTGGAAAATACATATTGTAAGACTTCATGTATGTAAAATTCAAAACAAGATAAAATTATTGTAGTTTTTAGAAGTGATTATTCGGTGAAACAGTGAAAAGAAGTATGGTTGTGATTGCCATAAAAGTTAGGAAAATAATTTGAGAGAGATGGAGGGAGGGGAGAGATTTGTGACAGGAATGCCCAGAGGGACTTCCTGGATTGTTGGCAATTAAATTTTTGTTTTAAACCTTTGTTCTTTTATTGATTTTTAGAGAGAGACAAAAGGAGATAGATAGCATTCATGAGAGAGAAACTTCAATTGATTGTCTCCTGCATGCCCCACCCCCTGTTGGGGATCGGGCCCATAACCTAGGCATATGTCCTAACTAGGAATTGAACCCATATCCTCTTGATTCCTGGGTTGCTCAACCTCTGAGCCAAACCAGCCAGACTGAATTTCTTGGTTTAGGTTGTAGTTACAAGGTTATTGGTTATTTAAGTGCACATTTTTATACACTTCTCTGCAATGTGGGACTTTTTAAACCATTTAGAAATGATTTTTAAATACGTGTGTGTGTGTGTGTATGATGCATACATATATGCATGGATACATAAGTGCGCATATATATATATATGTATGTATGTATGTATGTATGTATATGTATATATATATGCGCAAAGGGTGGTGATAAAGGTACCATGTTTCCCCAAAAATAAGACATCCCCTGAAAATAAGACCTAGCGCAACTTTGGGAGAAAAAATTAATATAAGACCCTGTCTTATTTTCGGGGTAACAGGGTAGATGTCCTTGAACAGAATGATGTTGATAGGTGTGTGACGGACTCTCTGCTGTAACAAATGCCTTGCTAATCCTCCTTAATAAGGCTATTTAAGTCTCCCAGCTGTGTATGTGTGAGTGCATGTCTGTGTGACAGAGTGATTATAGTCAAACTGTGAGAGGAGAGATCTGTAAACTTTAATCATGACAAATTTTTAATTTTCTAAATGCCTTAGCTCTTATTCTGTAGGGAGAAATTTGTTTTTCATCTCTTTGCTAGTTTGGCCAAAGGAAATTTTTATTATGACCTTCAGTCAATTTTTATGCCAGAGAATTACCTGTAACCTGCCTTGCAATGTTTCAAAATAACGTTTGTATTTGTTTCTCCACCACCACCTTCACTTTTCTTTTGTAACTGTGCAGTAGATTGAATGATATCTTTGAAAACTTATTTCTGGACCATCCTTAACATATCATTCTTGTTTTTCCTTATATGCAAAGGAAAGTGATTCCTACATTTCAGTTGGGATTTTGTATGATTCAAAAGTTGTTATTGTTTTGCTTTTTGTATTTTTAAGGCTTTTTCATCATGGCTTTCTAGTCACTGCACATTTCAAGCCCTAGCATTCTGTAACCAAGGAAACGCCCTACTTTCAGCATGGCACAGTGCAAATGTACCTTTTAAAAAAATATTCCATGTTGAATATTCTATGTATTTGGAAATAATATAAAGACCAGTTTTCCTGCTAGTTTAAAAAACAACAAAACAAAATCCTCAAGTTTTACACATTAAAATTGCCTGAAAGATAAAGTCTTAGGTATAAAAATAAATATTTGTTTCTCCCAAATACTAACCATTGCTGTAGAACTTATACATAAAATAAAATCCAACTGAGAAATAAAACTAGTATAAGTTTAAAGATTGCTGTATAGCAAATGTATTTCTAGGTAGTATTAGGTATATCCAAAGCATTTAGGTGGGCCAGTTTAGGTTAAAATACGAAGATGAATGAGGTGTATATGTATCTACTCTGATGGAGAAGGCACATATGGATGTGAATGTAAAATCTTCAATGATGTAAATTCTATAATGAAAAAGTATTTGTTATTAGGGAGATATAAACAAAATTATTTGATATGGGAGTAGAATTTGCTATGAAGATAAATTTTAAAAATACAACTGGAATGTAAATTCTCTAAAATTTCTTATTTTGTTGATTATCCATCAGAAAGCTTGAAAGTTGTTGTGTTTTTTTTAACCTGTCATGGCAATTTTAAAATCTAGTCAGATATACAGAGAACATAGTATAATGAACTACCATATATGTATCCATCACCCAAAAAAGGTTCAAATTAATAAAACCTGAAGCCTTTAAAAAAAAAAAAATGACTTAAAATTCAGAAAGTTATAGATCTTTTAACTACCCTGGAAAGATAACATTTATACAAATATGAATCCAAATGTACTTGTGATATAGCTTACAATTTACTAATAGCTCTTTACTTTTAAATAATTTGTATTTAAACTTCACTAATAGATATATTCTAGCTTTATGTAGCAGGTATGTGTGTTTTAATTTAGACAGTGTGGGATATCTTATTTATTGACTTTTAAACATGAGCATAAAATATTTAGAATAACAGTGGCTTGATAGTACTTACCTTCAGAGCTGAGAATTAGTTTGTTTAGGAGCTGCCAAACATTGTGAAAGATAACAATTTCAATTAGAAAAATGAAATAAAGCTTCTCTGTATTTAGGCCGCACTGTCAGACACTTTCTTTTGAAACTCAAATCTTCTAATGTGTGTTATCTAAATTATGCGTTTTCTTGGTTTCTTGTAATTCTTCGTAATGGATTGCTTATTCCAGAATTTCTATTTTCATCTCAAGTTTTGATTATTTTGTTCACATTATGTTTTTAGATGCTATTAAACTACAGCTGGTTGAAGCAGGTTTGGTAGAATGTCTACTACAGATTGTTCAACAGAAAGTGGATAGTGACAAAGAGGATGATATTGCTGAGCTCAAAACTGCTTCCGATCTAATGGTTTTATTACTTCTTGGAGGTGAGTTATAATTTATACCAACCAAAGAACATGGGTGCCAGATTCTGAAAAATTTATTGTCTCTTTTGAAAACACTATGTAAAGCATTTTTCATTTTCCTATCTCATTTAATCCTGTTGATGTGATGGTTTTGAAATCTTAAAGGAACATAGAGAGTACTAGAGATAATAAGCCTGGAAAAGAGAGGCTTCACTATTTATGTATGTATGTATGTATGTATGTATGTATTTTTAATATATTTTTATTGATTTCAGAGAGGAAGGGAAAGGGAGAGAGAGATAAAAACATCAGTGATGAGAAGGAATCATTGATCTGCTGCCTCCTACACCCCCCACACTGGGGATCGAGCCTGCAATCCAGGCATGTGTCCTGACCGGGAATTGAACCATGACCTCCTAGTTCATAGGTCAATGCTCAACCACTGAACCTTCCTGGCTGGGCTTCACTGTCTCTCACTATTTCAAGAGCTGTTATATAGAAGAGACGGCTGTGGCACCACAGGACTAAAAGCCAGATAGTTACTTGGGACTTAGACTAGAAGAACTCTAAAGTTTCTTGTCCAGTCTCTACTAAAATGATTCTTATTGTAAAAAAGAAGCATTACTTTTCCCCTTATAAATTCTTTCATTTTTGAAGTATATAGTTTCCCCATTGGCTATTTACTTAGAAATATGGATTTGTTACTCAACATTATTTTCCTCTTATCTGTTTGTTTCATTTACCTCCAGATGAATCCATGCAGAAATTATTTGAAGGAGGAAGAGGTAATGTGTTTCAAAGGGTGCTGTCCTGGATTCCGTCAAATAACCACCAGCTGCAGCTTGCTGGAGCGTTGGCGATTGCAAATTTTGCCAGAAATGGTAAGCATATTGCTGCATCTTTTAAAATTTCCTTTGACATTTCATGTACTAAAACCAAACAGTTTAGAATTGCACGTAATATGTATGTGTACTGCTACCTAAAGTTTTCAGAGATATGAAATATTTATAGTGACTTTCTAACTAATTATATATTTTATGGAATAACACTAAGTTCTGCTAGTTTAAAGATCTTGGAACAGCCCTGGCCAGCGTGGTTCAGCTGGTTGGGCGTCATCCTGTGCATCAAAAGGTTGCTGGTTCGGTTCCCCGTCAGGGCACATGCCAGGGTTGCAGGCTCCATCCCTGGTAGGGGGTGTGCAGGAGGCAGATGGTAGATGTTTCACTCTCACTTCCATGTTCCTCTCTCTCCCTTTCCTTTCCTCTCTCTAAAAATCAATTTTTAAAAGTTTTGTTGTTGTTTTATGAAAGAAAGATCATGAATGTTAATTATGAAGTCATTTGAATACTCGGCAATTCAGAGATTGATAAACTTGAGTCCCATTCTAATTCACATCTGATTTAGAAGGATAGTCTTTCTTGCCTGGTGACTTTATTTTGGATTTAATGATCCGAATTTTCATTGTAGGGTTGTAGTATCTCAATTTGTACTTTTATACCTATAAAACTTAAGTGTGGCTAATTCTCTGGTTTAGGTTAGAATAATTTAGCTTAATATTTTGGAGACACCATACTTCCATATTTATTTCTGAAGTCTGGTGTAGGAATATGAGTTGCTTTTGTGTTTAGTTTGATTTTATTGCAGAATGAACTGTTGTTATATTATAGTGGATGACTTATTCCATTTTCATTTCCTTCTTTTGAGGAACCATCATTAACTCCTTAATGATGGAATTAAGACTGGCAAAAGATTAATAATTGTTTAAGCTAAATATGGGGTATAAATAGTGGTTTATTTTAACATCCTCTGTTTTATAAATGTTTCAAAAATTCTATCATTAAAAAATAACCTAACAGCATTGATAACAAAATATAGAATACTGTCTCAGTCACAGTGGCAGAACTCAGGCATGCTTCACTATTGGTGGACATTTTAAGCATGAGGTTTCTACTTATTTATCTTCCAATATGTTTAAGCTAGAGTGTTTTCTTAATTTTAAAATTCTCTCTATTTTAAGAATCTTTTCATCGGACTTCTCATTCAGTTAGAAAAAAATTATAAATCTGAGGGAGAGTTAGATTTCCCTATGGTTCCATTTTCACTAATGTAGATAATGGGTAGGCATCAACATTAAAAAATATTTATAAATGTTTGTTCAGAGGGAAAAAAATATTTTTTCTTCAGATGGAAATTGTATCCATATGGTAGACAATGGAATAGTAGAGAAACTTACGGATTTACTGGACAGACATGTAGAAGATGGAAATGTAACGGTACAGCATGCAGCACTAAGTGCCCTCAGAAACCTGGCCATTCCAGGTAAGACTGAAGGATGGAAGGCAACGATGTAAGAAATAAAATCTATTGTTTTGGTAAGATTTTTACTTTATGTGCTTTGTAGATCTGCCCTGACCAAGGAAAAAAATCTTCAAATTGTTTACATTTTTTTCACTGATAAATGAAGATAAACTAGTTTTCTGAGATTGTACAAGCATAATCTTGCCTTTGTTCAGATCATTCAAATAATTCTATTACCCTCTGTGAACTCCTAAGAGTTTCATTATATTGTATAGTTACACTTTTTAAAGCATCATCAGTTTAGGTAAGATAATGGCATCAATTAATAGAGCCTCCTAAAGAATGACTTTTAAAGTTTGTATTTTCCTGCAAACATACAATTTTTTAAAAATAGCCCTTATGTGTCCTTTTGGATTAAAGACTTAAGCCATGGAATCACATTATCATTGGAAATAATATAGAAGATGATTTAAAATGTTCTTTTATTCTACTTTCTAAAATTAAATTTCTAGTTAGGTAAAATAATATAACTGTATGAAGATATAATCTATATGAAATTAGTTTGTTTCATATAGCAGATGATGTTTATTAATTATTGTGACATCTATATTAACACAGCTGGTCAAAAACAGAGGTAAAAAACAGAGTTGAGAAATTGTGCTTTCTGTGAATAGAAGGCAACATTATCAGGTTTCCTTTACAAACTATTTAGGTAAGTGTTTAGAGGTTAGGTTTGATTTTGTATATTATGCTCCTATAGACAAATGGGATATAAGATTTTTTTTTTAAATAGAAAAATATAAAACATAGGGCCTTAGAGATAATAAGACTCTCAATAAATGTTTATTGAATTGAATGATTATCATCAAGAATGCTAACACCATTTTAATCATGGCCTTTTTTTTTTCCTCCCCTCTCTTTCTAGTTGTAAATAAAGCAAAGATGTTAGAAGCTGGGGTCACAGAGGCAGTTTTGAAATTCCTTAAATCCGAAATGCCCCCGGTTCAGTTCAAACTTCTGGGGACATTGAGAATGTTAATAGATGCACAAGGTAAAAGAAATGCTTTCCCAAGATGTTCTTTTGCTATCACAGTCTCAATGTGCCTCTAGTGAAAAAGGGCTTGTTTTCAGCTTTCAGAATTATGTAATCATAAAGATAAATAGCAAATGAAGACAAAAAGAGATTGGTTTTAGAACCCATTTATTAATTCTCATGCTTGTTATAATTGGCTTTAAGTGGAAACTACATGGCTTCTATTTGCAGTTCCTGATTTTTTTTTTTTTTTTTTTTTTTTTTTTAGCATTCCATACCCATTTTTACCTCATCTTCAAAATCATCATGTTTCAATATAATGACATTTTAAAAATTTGCTTTGCAAAGAGGGAAATCATTTTTCTGTGTACAGAGACAGCAGTGAAACCTTGGAATGAATTATGTTTATTTACATCTAAATTTCAAAACTTTTCTCTATTGATTCCTTAGAGTCGTCCTAAAAATTCTTTATTATAGTTTGACAGAGTATTAACAGACTACCAGGCTGACCTGGAAGCATATGAAGCTGCTTTCTTTTATATTTTTGTACTGAAGTCCACAACTTTATAGGAAAGGCCAAATAGTCCTTCAGATATGGGACACTATGTTTGCAGTTCCTGCTCTAATAAAATTGTGTTGTTTTTTTAAGCATGTAATTTTCTTGCATACTCTTTATTTCAGTTGATTGCCTACCAGTGATTCATTCCTTTGTGGTTTGCCTTCTTTCCAATAGCAGAAGCTGCTGAACAACTGGGAAAGAATATTAAGTTAGTGGAGCGTTTGGTGGAATGGTGTGAAGCTAAAGACCATGCTGGTGTGATGGGAGAGTCAAACAGACTGCTCTCTGCCCTCATACGACACAGTAAATCAAAAGTAAGTTCCCGAAGAAACCTTTCACTAAGAACATTTGAGTGGCATTTTTGTAAAACCGATATTGTAGATTGTACATCATAAGCTTGAGTTTTTTATGAATTTATCTGTAAATACATTAATCAAAAGTTCTGAAAATATAGTAATTGAAGATTGAGCTTTTTAATTTTGTTGTATTCATAATAGGTGAGAGTAGAGTTTTGGAGTTAAACAGAAATGAGTTCATAATTTATCTGCTCTATTTACTTGGTCAAGTGTCTTCACCTCTAAGTAAAAACTGGGCTGTTCCCTACCTGTGAGTGTTGTGAGGATGATTCAGTGAGATCACATATAGAATGCTCAGTTGGTACCTGGTTGACTGCAGGTACTCAGTAAATGGAGGTTGCTGCTGTTACTATTTTTACCGCAACTACTACATTGGACATTGATGCTGATAATGGTGGTAGTAGTTCAAGCTTTTTTCTTCATAATGTAATGACTCATACAGGACACTCAAATTACAATGAATTGACTGATTATAATGCAGCTTCTTTATATTGAAAATTAAGGTTTATAATTCTGTGATATTTATTTGTTATAGGATGTAATTAAAACCATTGTACAGAGTGGTGGCATCAAGCATCTAGTTACCATGGCAACTAGTGAACATGTAATAATGCAGAATGAGGCCCTTGTTGCTTTGGCACTAATAGCAGCTTTAGAATTGGGTAAGTACCCTAGTGACAAACTTATTTTCTTTTATTTTTATCTTGGATAAAAGGAAGCACAGGAGTGGAATAGAAGTCAGAACCTTGCCGGGACCGGTTTAGCTCAATGGATAGAGCGTCGGCTAGGGGACTGAAGGGACCCGGGTTCGATTCCGGTCAAGGGCATGTACCTTGGTTGCGGGCATATCCCCAGTAGGGGGTGTGCAAGAGGCAACTGATCGATGACTCTCTCTCATCGATGTTTCTAACTCTCTATCTCTCTCCCTTCCTCTCTGTACAAAATCAATAAAATATATTTAAAAAAAAAAAAAAAAAAAAAAAAGAAGTCAGAACCTTGACTAGAAGCATTTTGCCAGTGTGTGTTTGTATCTATATATGAGTATATGGAAAACCATATTCTACAGATTGTCACCACTGCTATCCCTTTTGGTTGTGTTCTTTTGGCAACATTTGCTTTAAGGTTAGTTAAAGTGTTATCTCAAGTTGTAAGCAATTAGGGAACATAGAACTCGTTTTTAGCAGGCCTCAGAGAAATGAAACCATTTTTATAATGCAACAGGCTTAGGGTTTTCTACTTTTCCAGCTATCCAGGCCTTCCATCTCTACCACTAAATTTTCTGTTGCTAATCTTCTGTTATCTTGATTTCTATTGCTTTGTGGGGGTGGGGAACCTTTTTTATGCCAAGGGCCCATTTGGATATTTATAACATCATTTGAGGGGCCATACAAAATTATCAACTTAAAAATTAGCCTGCTATATTTGGTCAATTAACTCACCTCTAATGTCTTGCCAGGCCAGACCAAATCAAATGATTTTGTGGGCCTTATATGGCCCTTGGCCTGGACTGGACATTCCCCTCTCTTGCTTTATACCATTGCCTTCATTTTAATTTTCACCTTCTATGTCATTCTTCTGTGTGTTTTATATTCAGAATTCTCCAAATACAGTGTTTAAATTATGCAGTTAATGTCTGTCTTATAGCATATAGCTTCCCTGTTGGTCAGAATTGTTCATGAGAAGCTTGCTCATACACATTTAGCTTATGGGTAGCCACCTTTGTTTTAGGAACCAGCCTCTAATGTAGTCAGCTGGGGACAGTCAGTGTCACATGGCCTGTGGGTGACACCTTGGGCTGCCTTACACAAAGGAAGACTCTACTTAGTGTCCTGTCCAGTTCAAAGCATTGCAGGTAAATACTATGATTTTTTTCCATTGAAGATTTATGTGCATAATCCTCACACTGGGGAAAGTGAACCCACCAATCCCTCTCTCAGGAAGGAAAGGCCAAAAGATACACATGGTATATCTTCCTCCAGTGTCACATTTATTCATATGTGGGGTATAGGAAATTTCTATTTTTGTCTTCTTACAGGGTTGTGAGTTTTTTAAAAAAAATCATAAGTAGGATGTAAAATTTTTTGAATTTTTTATTTTATTTTAATCTTCATCCAGATTTTTATTTTTTATTTATTATTATTATTTTTTAAATAAATTTTTATTGTTCATATTATTACAAATGTTCCTTCCCCCCTCCCCTCCATTGCTGTCCTCCACCAGGTTCCCACCCCACCCTCTGCCCTTTCCCCACAGCCCCATTGTCCTCATCCATAGGTGCACTGTTTATGTTCAGTCTCTTCCCACATCCCCTTCTACCCTTTTCCCCAAGAATCGTCAGTTCACTTCCCTTCCATACCTCTGATTCTATTATATTCAACAGTTAATATTGTTCATCAGATTTTTTTTTTAATTTCCTTGGTTTTTAAATTCACTTGTTGATAGTTATGTATTTGTTGTTCATAATTTTTATCTTTATTTACTTTCTCTTCCGAAAGAAACCCCTTCAGCAGTTCATATAATTCTGGTTTAGTGGTGATGAACTCCTTTAGCTTTTTTTTTTATTAGTGAAGCTCTTTATCTGACCTTCGATTCTGAGTGATAGCTTTGCTGGATAGATTATCTTTGGCTATAGGTTCTTACTATTCATCACCTTGAATATTTCTTGCCATTCCCATCTGGCCTGCATGGTTTCTGTTGAGAAATCAGCTGACAATCGTATAGGTGCCCCTTTATAGGTAACTACCTTCTTTGCTCTTGCTGCTTTCAATATTCTCTCTTTGTCTTTTGCTATTGGAATTTTAATTATGATTTGTCTTGGTGTGGTCCTCTTTAGATTCCTTTTGTTTGGAGTTCTGTGCGCTTCCTGGACTTGTAAGTCTAATTCTTTCACCAGGTGGGGGAAGTTTTCTGTCACTATTTCTTTCAGTATGTTTTCGATATCTTGCTCTCTCTCATCTTCTGGGACCCCCATAATTCTGATGTTGGTTCGCTTGAAGTTGTCCCAGAGGTTTCTTACATTATCTTCAATTTTCTGGATTCTCTTGCCTTCTAGCTTCTGCGGAGGAGTGTCTTCTGGCTCTTTATGTTCCAAATCTTTGACTTGATTCTTGCAATCTTCCATTCTGTTTTTAGGACTCTGTATAATATTTTTTATTTCAGACAATGTATTCTTTATTTCTTGTTGATCCCTTATCATTTCTTGTTGATTCCTTATTAATTCTAATTGATCCCTTTTCATATCCTCATAGGTCTTATCGATCTTTTCAAAGAAATTCTTGAAAAACCTTATAAGCATAGATTTGAACTCTATATCCAGTCTCTTTTTGTCCTCCATTTCTTTCACAATGATCTATTTCATCTCGGCATTTTCGCAGCTTCCCTAATGGGGCGGGGTTTCAGGGTGGAGCCTCCTACAGCTTTGGCTTTTGTCAGCCCCGCCCTATACTGCTCCTGAGTCTCAGGGTCCTTCAGTACTCGTTGCAAGCGCCTCTGAGAGAAAGGTGCCCTCGATTTTCACCTGCTACCAAATAGTCTAGGCTCTCCCCAATGAGCCCGGTATTGGGGTTCAGCTCAGTTGAAAGTGGGGTTGGAGGTGGCTTTCGGAGCAGTCTGGAGCCCCTGTCTCCTTCCCGCCAGGGCAATTCCGCGGCACAGCCAACCGTCCCTTCTCTGCGCACAATGTGCGCGCCTCCGGGACCTCCTTTCGCCGCTCCCCTGGGGTTCCACCTTACAGCCCAGTCTCCCTCTGGATGAGCCTGGGTCCCCGGGGTCTGGCCTAGAACTGGGGTTCAGAGCAGTCGGAACTGGGGCCCAGCACAGTCAGAGCTTTTATCTCCTTCCTGCTAGGAAATGCCAGCCAGGCACTCAGCCTCCCTCCTCTTCGGCTCCGTCCTCTCAGAGCGTGCGCAGCATGTCTCCGTACCTTAGGCTTTTACAGCTCCTCCGCTCTTCCTTCTGGTTTTCTCCTTGCTTCTCGTTGTAGAATTTCCAGTCAGTCGGCTTTCCCGTAGTTCTGGGTAATGTCCATTTTATATTTTAGTTGTATTTTATTGAAATTGTTAGTGTGCAGCTGTGGCTAGGTGTTTACCTGTGCAGCCATCTTGGATTCTCAAAAATTTTTTGAATTTTGAAGATAAAAGACTTCAAGACAATGTATGCTTACTCTCAGTAGTTGTTGAGAGGCTGTGGAGGTCAGTTTGAGTTCTAGCCACGCCTGTGATTTCCACATGGTTTGGGTAGATTATGTGAGTTGGTCTAGAATCCAGACCTCTTTAAAGGATGGAAACTAGGATGGAGGAGTAGGAGTTGGTGAGGATGTCGCCTACCAAACTGGGTTCAGAGACTGACTTTAAGTGGCTTAAAATACAGGAGCATTTTCAGAATATCCTTGGCCTTCCACCCTGGGATAAATCTGGTTTTGTGCCAGGATCTTCCAAACAAGCTGTAATTTTGAAGCTTCTTGATAATTTAGCATTTGCTTGGATCTGGTCACCTTCCCATAGAACTATATAAAATGACAATACATACATTTTTTAAAAAAAATTGTTTCCTAGGTTCATTGAGCTTAAGATATAAAAATAAACCTATACTATCTTTTCATACACAACCTACTTTGAAAACTATATTTTCCAAGCTATAAAGAGATCTTATATTTTTTAAATAAATAATTATAGATTCACATGCAGTTTTTAGAAATACTACAAAGATATTCCTTGTATAGTTGGCTTACTTTCTCTCAGGCTAAACATTTTGCAAAACTAAATAGTATAATATTCTAAACCATTGATATAATTCACCTACCTTATTTAAATTTCCCCAGTTTTACTTATACTCCTTTATATATGTGTGAATTTTTTATACAGGTGTTTTTGTTTTGTTTTGTCTTTTGCATGTGTGGGTCTGTATATCTACCACCACAGTCAAGATACTGAATAAGTTATAAGAAAACAAGGATCCCTTTATAACTACACTCACCTGCCTCCACCCCTACCTCTCATGCTGCTCCTAACCCCTGGAAAGCACTAATCTCCCTTCATTTCTAAATGTTTTCATTTTTTAAATGTTATGTAAGTAGAATCATGTAGTATGTGACCTTTTGGAATTAGCTTCTTTTGCTCAGCATAATTTCTTAAAGAGTCATCAGATGTGTCTTGTGTCTCAGTTTTTTATTGCAAAATAGTATTCCACAATTTGTTTAGCCGTTCACCTATTGAAGGACATGTGGACTGATTGCAGTTTGAGTCTTCAAAAAATAAAATTACTGTGAACATTCACATATATGTGAACATAAACTTTTTTCTCTAAATGCCTAGGAATGCAATTGATGGGTTCTATGATAACTGCATGTTTAATTTTTAAAAAAAATCAAATTGTCTTTCAGAGTAGCTGTAACATTTTACACTCATATTGCCACTGTATAAGTGTTTAATTTTCTCTGCATTCTATCAGCATTTGGTGTTGTCACTACTTTTTTATTTTAGCCATTCTGATAGCTACAAGGGATATCACATTGTGGTTTTAATTTACATTTTTTAAAATGTAATGATGTTGTACATCTTTCCATGTCCTTATTTTCAATCATATATTCTTTGGTAAAATACCTGTTTATCTTTAGTTTATTTTCTAATGTTTTGAGGATTCTTTATATATTCTAAAAGTTTACACTTCAGTTTGTGATCCCCTTTGAGTTAATATGTGTATAAAGTATGGTTTAAGTCAGGGTTACTTTCTTTGTAGCTGTCTAATTTGTTGAAAAGGTTCCCTTTACTCCATTGAAATGATTTGAACATTTGTCAAAGATCAGTTGAGCATATTTGTGTGGGTCTATTTCTGGAGTCCTATAATCAGTTCCTATGATCTATGTATCAATAAATACAGCTCTATCTTGACAACTATATAGTGAGCCTTAATATCAGATAGAAGAATCTCTCCCACTTCATTATTTTTAATCAAGATTGTTTGCCTCTTCTAGGACCTGTAACTTTTCATATAAATTTTAGTATAAGCTCATCTATTTTTATAGAAAACCCTGCTGGGGTTTTAATAGGAATGAACATTCTTTATCGCTTAAAGATAAATACAACCTAAAGTACATATGGAGGAAATTATGTAATTTATAAGATTTGCTTTAAAATAATTTGAGATGTGTGAGAATAGGTAGATGAAACTAGAGATAGATGAAACAAGATTGACCATGATAATTTATAAAGATGATAGTGCACATGGTATCGTTATACTCTCTTTTCTGCTTTTGTATATGTTTAACAAAAGATTTTTAATTGCTTTACTTAAAAGGAATGTTTTAGCCCTGACCAGATTGGCTCAGTGGATAAAGCATCGGCCTGTGGACTCAAGGGTCCCAGGTTCGATTCAGGTCAAGGGCATGTACATTGGCTGCGGGCACATCCCCAGTAGGGGGTGTAGAGGAGGCAGCTGATCGATGTTTCTCTCTCATCGATGTTTCTGACTCTCTGTCCCTCTCCCTTCCTCTCTGTAAAAAAATCAATAAAATATATATTTTTTTTTAAAAAAAAGGAATGTTTTAATTCTAAATATTAGTTTAAACTTAAAACGTTTGCTGAAATTTAGCTCTATTTTTTTTTTTAATAAAGTCTGAATTTAGTATCATATGTCTAGATCATTATTATTTATCAGTCCCTTTTGGAAAGTTTCATATGATCAGTTTATAGAAAAGGAAGCAATGTTTACTCAGATTGTAGTGGTTCATAAACAATGAATATAACTGCTACTTTAATTATTTCCTATTCTAGACACTGCTGAGAAAGATCTAGAAAGTACTAAACTTGTACAGATTTTACACAAACTGCTAATAGATGAGAGAAGTGCTCCTGAAATAAAATATAATTCCATGGTTCTGATCTGTGCTCTCATGGGATCCGGTAAGTATTTCCTCTATCATTTGATTTCTATCCATCAACATATGTTTGACATTATTAAATACAAAATAATAGTAAATGGTGGCTTTGGGTTTAAAAAACATTAGAAATTAGTTTATGGATGTTATAGCATTACTTTTACATTGAAAATATTCCCAAAAGGTTCTTACTATAATAAATTTTTAAAAGCCCACTATATAGCAAATATAAGCTAAATCAGTATTAAAAATCAATACCTGTAAGTTTCATCAACCTTAAAATATTTTATATAAAGAACAAGTTCTGATTTTTATGCCATGATATTAGCTAAGAAACTTTTTAAAGTAATCATTGGCATGTCTTGTGGTATATGTTCCATGGACAATTGAAAAGAATGTGTCTTCTGCTGTTATTGGGTGGAGTATTCTTTGAATGTCAATTAGATCCTTTGGTTGGTAGTGGTGTTGAGTTTCTGTATTTCTGACTGACTAATCATTGTTGAGAGAGGAGTGCTGAAGTCTTCAACTGTAATGATGGATTTATCCATTTCTTCTATCAGTTCTATCAGTTTTTGCTTCCCATGTTTTGTAGCTCTGTTGCTAGGTATATTCAACTTTTAGGATTGGTGTGCCTTCCTGATGGATTGATCTTGCTACCATTATGTAATGTTTCTGTCTCTGATGATTTTCTTTACTTAAAATCTACTTTATCTAATATTAAAATAACTACACTCCTATCTTCTTTTGAATAACAAACACCCTTTTGGTTTCAGTCTGCTATATCATTATATTTGAAGTTTAAGACAGCATATTGTTGGATTGTATATCTTCTGTTTTGTCGGTATATAGTATTATATTAGTTACATTAGTTTTAGGTGTATAATATAGTTATTTGACATTTTTATACCTTACGATGTGATCATCTGCCACCATGTAAAATTATCAATGATTATATTCCTCTTCATCTTTGTTCAAATGTGAATGCTAGGATGTTATCCTAACAATCTCTTATACTTTGTTACACACCCTCCTGGCTAACCATCCTTTTGATCTCTGTTAGTATATTTGTTTTGTTTTTAGATTCAACATATAAGTAAAATCATACATTATTTATCTTTATCTGACATTTCTTTTTCACTTAACATAGTAACATCTAGGTCCATCCATATTGTCACATAATATTTCATTGTATATAAATATATCTTTATCCATTTATCTATCAGTGAACAGCTAAATTGCTTCCATATTTTGTCTATTGTAAGTAAAGCTGCAGTGAACATAGGGGTACATTTTTTACATCATTTCTAATTTTTCAATTATAGTTGACATACAATAGTTTATTAGTTTCAGGTGTATACCCCAGGATAAGACATTCTATAACATATTAAGTGGTCATCCTGGTAAATCTTATACCTATTTTACACCGTATATAATTATTAGCATATTATCAATTATATTCCCTATACTGTACTTTACATCCCCATGACTATTCTTTTATTACCAATTTGTTCTTAACCCTTTCCACTTTTTCATCCAACTCCCTCCCATCTGACAAACCACTAAAATGTTCTCTGTATCTATGTTTATTTATTTTGTACTTTAGATTCAATTGTTGATATGTATTCATTGCCATTTTATTCATATTTATCTTATTTTTTTTCTTTTTCTTCTTAAAAAAAGACCCTTTAACATTTCATGTAATACCAGTTTGGTGTTGAACTCCTTTAGCTTTTTCTTGTCTGAGGAGCTATTTATCTGTTCTTTGATTCTAAATGATAGCTTTATTGGTTAGAGTGGTCTTGGTTATAAGTACTTGCTTTTCATCACTTTGAATATTTCTTGCTAATACTTTCTGGCCTGCAAAGTTTCTGTTGAAATCAGTTAACAGTCTTGTGGGAGCTCCCTTTAGGTAACTAGCTGCTTTTAAGATTTTTTGTCTTTAACATTTGACATTTCAATTATGATATGTCTTTGGGTTCATCTTGTTTGATGCTCTCTGCACTTCCTGTACTTATATGTCCGTTGGTCTCTCTATATGTCTTTATACCAGTACTATACTGTTTAATAATTGTAGCTTTTTAGTAAGTTTTGAAATTAGGAAGTGTGAGACCTTCATATCTCTCTCTCTCTCTCTCTCTCTCTCTCTCTCTCTCTCTCTCTCTCTCTCTCTCTCTCTCTCTCTCTCTTTTTTCCCCCCAGGCTTGTTCTGGCTATTTAGTCTCTTGAGATTCTGTGTGAATTTTATATGGGTTTTTCTATTTTAACTAAAAACATTGGTTCTAGTTTTATACCTCAATCTCATTAAAGTAAGCCATCAATTTGAGGAATGCTGATTGCTTTATACTTACTGGATCTCAGTCTTTCCATGTAGTAGTTCTCAAAGTCTTACAAGTCCTAAATTTTCCTGTAATTGAGGTTAAATAGAATAAGAAAAGCCAGAAAAAGGAAATTTAAAAGGGAGCCTAGTCTCATAGAATTTATTGAATGGATGTAAAATATAACCTTTTCTATTTGCCACAAAATTAATCTGAAACAGATCTAAGTCACTAACCTTCATATTTGAACTATATAACTAAAATCTTGAGATCACACAATGAGTTCTGTTTAATTATAACTCATTACCCTAATCACCCTTAGACCATAAAATGTGACATCTGATTTATCTTTATATTAATGTGGCAAGTAAAGGTCCTCTGATTTTATTTATTTACTTATTTATTATTATAACACATCTCTAAAGATTATCTTTCTAGGCTAAAATGGTATCTTTTTTCTAGTTTTATCTATCATCCAAATAAACATTTTGGATATATGTGTCTGTTATATTGATTTTTGTCTTCCAGAATCTCTACACAAGGAAGTACAGGATTTGGCTTTTCTAGATGTTGTATCCAAACTTCGCAGTCATGAGAACAAAAGTGTTGCCCAACAGGCCTCTCTCACAGAGCAGAGACTTACTGTGGAGAGCTGAGAACTGCCCCTCCCTGATAATGGCATCGTCCTATCTCTGGTTTCTCCTTTGTCCTCCATCCGGGTGCCTCTTCTGCTTCGTTCTCTTCCGTATCACTTGTGCATGCGTGTAATGTTGCAATACCAATCGAAGAACTCTGTAGGTACCTGCCTAATAAGATTTCTAAACCCATAGTTAATGTGAACATGAATTTGTCAAAAACAAGTCTCCACCCATAACTGTTCTTTTGTATTCCTGTTGCTTGAGCTACATTAAGTAGAATGTGCATGTTGTAGTCCTATGATGATGTTAACTTGGTACTACATACTGACTTGCTCCTCACACTTGGTAAACTACATAATAATGTACTGGTAAATTAGCAAAAAACAAGAATGCAGCAGGATCTGTCTAGCTTATTAAAGATGATATTGAATAGTAAAAATAGCTCCTTTTTTTTTTTTCTTTTTTTTTTTTCGGTGCTTGGTAAGCACAGTGACCAAAAAACTGTATGGCTTTTCATTCATTAGTCTTACCTACCAATGTCAAACTCATGGTACCTAGAGTTAAATAAAATCCAGTGCTCTAACTCTTTACCCTATGGTTTCTCCTTCTTCCTAACTATGTAGACTCTTGAAACTGCCACAATCTTGGCCAAACTTCCCTGGGGTTTTTAATTTCATGGTTAATTGGCTGTCATCAGTAACCTGATGTTGAAAACATTTGTAGTTTTCAGTATGAAACTACAGGGCTGGAATCCCTTTTACACTAGTACATCTTGGATTTTTGGCTATATTTTATATATATATGCAGTTTCACTTTAGAACTTTTTCACCAACTAATCAGGGTTGTCCAACACTTGTCTGTAAAAGTCACTTTGGCATTTGTTTTCAACTAAGGAAACAAATGTAGCTCATTGGAGACTGGATTTTTTCCCCCCGTTTTTCATCATTCAGCATAAAAGCAAGAGGTTTCCTCTCATAGTCCTTTTAAATCATATTAGAACTAGCAGGACATAGGAAAGCATTAAAAACCTTTGTCTAGATTAAAGGAAGGAAGCAGGTTATAAAGCCATAGTAGCCAGTTCAGTTCATTCTGCAGGTGGCCTCATTCCAGTGGCTTTTAGAGTCCCAACTCCACTTCCCACAGGGAACTGCAGATCTTAAAGGCTCTCAGGAAAGGTGACAGCACCGGCACCCAGGAGAGGAGAAGACCTCCTTGGAGAACCATAATGTACTCTTCACTGCCACTACCACCACCAAATGGATTGTTAGAGCTTTGAAACACAATCTTTGTAAATTAATCAAAGCGTCCCTGTACATACCTGCCTTCTCCCTGGGCCCAAGTTTGACAAACAATGGCTGAGAGGTAGAATAGGCTGCAATGTGGAAGGACTGCAGAACAGAATGGGCAGCCAGGGATAGCGGCTCCTTCCTCTCCACATGGTGTACCTCTCTAGGTGATCAGAATTGGACTTTGGACTCTGAAACAGCTATAATCCAAGAAAGTTAAAACCCCAGTGGAGATAAAGAACCCTTTGACTGAATATTCCCCTGATGCCCAAGAAAGGGACTGCTATATGCTACACTTACTGCAAGAAGGATCTTGTTTATTGTCTTCTCCTGGACTGGATAGTGGACTATATTTTATTATAGTTTTGAAAGACATCTGTAATGTAAAGACTGTCCATATTAATAACTAAATAAATAAGTTGTATATCAAACCATAGTGATGGCATCATTTGGTTTGTTTGTATAATTTACTTCTATTTCCATCTCCTAGAACAGTGCTTTACTCATTGTTGGTGCTCAGTAAATATTTGTTGAATGAATTCCGATTTCCATGAAACTTCCATACTGCCCAAGAAAATTCTAGATAGATTTCTAGAGAAACTGAGATTTAGATAATTGTCTGACTTCAGAGTTTTGTGGGGTTTTTTTTTTTTTTTGAAGGTAGGATCCTTCCCCATTATACAGAAAAACCTCAGAACAGAGGCACCCACAAATCATAGATTTGAGAGGTGCCATTCTCTGTCTAGTACCAGCAATCAGTTTGCTGATATGCTAGAAACTCCTCTCCAGCAAAACAACATGCAATTCAAATCAGCAGCTGTTCTACAAGACACAGAAGCCTGTGCCCTTACGGTGACAGAGGTTCCCCACACTGGGTGGTGTGCTGCTATGCCATGACAGTGGGTAGGAGCCCACAGACAGCACAACCTTTATCTCCTGTATCTCAATGGAGGCCACCTTTAGCTTGCTGCCCACTAAGAGTGCTTTCTAAGGGAGAGAATGCAAAGCTTGAATTACCACCTTGTGCCAGGACTAGATCACAGATGAAGAGCAAAACCAGAAATGGGAGGGAAGAAGATGGGTGAGTGAAATGCACTAGCATGTATTCCCACCCTCTCTCCCCACGGCATTAGCTCCTTGGAATCCTGTTAACCCTCGCCCAAACAGCAACCCCACTCTACTCAAAGCAAAATGGTCTAAATACTGGCCCACAATCTAGTGTTGCCCTTGCTAAAACAGGTTTTGAGCATATTGATAGCCATGGCGATGTGGAACAAAATTCTTCAGTTCTAAAACGATTTCCTCTTGAATGGAATGGAATGCCGCTCTCAGATATAAGCATTCACGTGAAGTGTTCTGAGGGACCCTGCATGTGAACATGTGAAAAAGAAACGCTCTTTGGTATCATGAGAAGGTTTATTATCTAATTCTGCTGAACACAAGGGGTGAATATGTGAATTACCTTGGTGAGCGTTACCCTTTATATCCAACTGTTAATAGAATCAGGTAAGTTTAAAAGCCACTTCTAAACTCTAAGACATAACATTAGAATTATACGAGTGTCTATTAAAAAGCACCTAGTGATTTTAGGGATGAATCTTCATAGCTGTAGCCAGGAAAACAGGATTTTTTTTTCAAAGATGAGATCTTATTTTCTGTGCATCCATGTGTAATTATATATTGTGAAGCTTCATAGATGCGTGTTTTATAGGTGTGTCTAAGATGTGCTAAACACTTTTAAAGTGTGATAAGTACAAAAAGTAAAGTCTTTGGATGCTGTCTGATGTGTATCACATCCTGGTTCTTTTCATCACCAAATACCTTACTCTCTGGGCCTGTAAGGAATTAATATGATGAGTTTAATGTTCCCTACTTGATTAAGATGAGTTTAATGATCCCATTATTAATATGATAAGTATTAATCATCTTAATAATGGGATCATTAATATAAAAACCCTTCTCAGGGTTTTTGTGACAATTGAAACTTAGCTGTTGAAGGTAAAGTTGGATGGAACTGTGATACCTTATGGCCTAACCTACACTCCCCTGTCCCCACTGCAGGATTCCCAGCTAAAGGAACTCAAAGAACAGCCAAATGGGAGACAGAGTGTCTATTAGTAGTTTGAGGAGCACCCAGTTGTCGATGCAGAATGTAGCCCCTTGTGTCCTTCCCCCAGAGGCTAAGGTGGTCAGGTCTACGGAGCAGGCCTTGAATGTAGGTCCCCACCAGCACTTCTTTTTCCTATCTCTTCATATGTCAAGTGGGAAGAACAGTAAGTAGCTCAGTATTGTCACTAAGTCAATATAAATAAGGCTATGAGTTTTTTTCTCAATATAGAAACAGAATCCTCCTTCCCATTTTCCATGCTGCCCAATTACTTATCAGTATATATAAAATATACTTTTTTTATATACATACCTGTTCATGTATGTTTTTTCTTACATTTAAATGGTATGTGTTTTGCATGAAGGCAGATGGTAGTGAATCCACTGGTGACAGCCTACTTGTCATTATGGTTCTTGACTAGACAGGCTGATGTTGGAGGTTTCCACAGGTTACTGCTCTTTATATGCCATGAATGCCCAGCTACAGTATTTGAAGGGGGGAGGGGGGGGGAAATGAGTCTTGAATAGAATTTATGTTCCTTTCTAAATTTAACTAATTTTTATTTCCTTCTTAATTGACTTTTAAAAGTTTATTTCCTTATCCACACTTTGTTTCTGCCTAGAAAACAAATAAAAACATTTTACCAAAACTTTTTAGCTATGGCTACAGAGATTCTAATCTAATGGCATGTCAAAAATGGACCATATTCTCCTATTTATAACACTAGATAGGAACTTAGTATAATGACAATTCATTCATTATAATTAGACCAAACTTGGACCATGTACCGTATTTTCCGGCGTATAAGACGACCCCCTAATTTTACAGTTAAAACATAGGTTTAGGCCTATATTCGCTGTATAAGACTACCCCCCACTTCAAAGAAAACACTTACTTTGCTGTCAAGATCTGCAGGTAATTTTTGTGCAGTTTTGGTTTTCTGCCCCCGATTTTCGGTTGACTTTTTTTCGTTTCAAAAGTCGTCTTATACGCCGAAAAATACATAAGTATTGATACCCACAATTCTCCTGATGTCCCCTCAGTCCTGCTGCCTGGTGTCATATTTGTCCAGTAAGAATGTAGAGTCTCCCACTTCCCAAGGCATCCAGAGGATCTGAGTGATGCATGAGCAGCCCTGTTCTCTGGTCCGCAGCCTCACCAATGCAGCCTTCAAGGAATCAAAATGGAGCAAGTTGGGGGGTTAGGGCTCGAAAATGGGGACTCGGGTGAGAAGTGATTTACCCCAGGCCTCAGAACACATTTTTAGAATTTGTCCATGCTCAGAGGTCCGTGGTTTTTCTGGTAGGCATGCGTGCCGTTTTAATCTGCTTAGCCATAGAGTTAAAGCCATGTTCGGTGGCGTGTAGCACTTCATAGTATCCAATTGGTTTTGGTCACATATATAGAGAATTTCCCATTTCAGGATTAGGTTGTAAGAAAATAAGCTAGATTTTTTTTATCCTCAAGAAAGAATAAAGCCTAACTCGGTTGTACTTTGAAGTATCTTACTTTGGAATTTGGGATTTTTAAAAAAAATCTTCATTGTTGAAAGTATTACATATGCCTCCTTTTTCTGTCATTAATCTCTTCTAGCCCACCGTCTCCTCCCACCCAGACCGTCACCACACTGTGTGTGTCCATGGGTTATGCATACATGCATTCAAGTTCTTTGGTTTATCTCTTCCCATCCACTCACCCTCCCCTGCCTTCCCACTGAGGTTTGACAGTCTGTTCCATGCTTCTATTATCTGTGGATCGATTTTGTTCATCAGCTTATTTTTTTCATTAGATTCCACATATGATTTTTTTAATTAAATAACTTTAAAGATATTTATTATACTTCTGCTATCTTAAGATAAAATTTTTTAAGCTTTAACCAGATTTCCAGTATATAAACTTTTAATGTAATAATAGACCTCAACACACACACACACACACACACACACACACACATATATATATTGTATATATATGTGTGTGTGTGTATATATATATATATATATATATATATAATCTATTTTCAAGTAAAATTGAGAGGCAACACTTACTATTATAGTTGTTAATTTGTCACTTCCTGACTCCCAGGAATCCTGAAGAATTCTGAGGGGGAGAAATTCTGGGTGTACCCTCAGATTACTGTAAAAATATATCTTTCTATGAGTGCTCACTTTGAATTTTATAGCCATCCCTCCTTTAAAAATAGGCCTCCCTTCTAGTCAGATGGTGTTTTTGCTTATTGGTTTGTTTTTAAGTATTGCCATTTACAGAACAGAGCCACGCCAGCTGCTCTGTCTCTGCCCTCGTGGTGGCTGAGCACTCAGATGCAAACCCTTCTCCCAAGGTCAGCATTGCCCCGCGAGGACCAGAGCAGGTTGGCCACCTTCTGACCTTGTCCTCCATCCATCGCTGTTCGGCTCAGCCTCGCCACGCTGAGCCCTGCCATGTCCAGCATGGGCACATCAGACAAGGACCTATAATTAGGACTTGTGAAGGAGTGAGGATCACAAAGCCTTGTAGATTGCAACTCAACCCAAGAATACCAAGTGCCACCCTAATCAGGGTAAACAATGGGGAGGGAATATTAACCTGAGTAACTAATTTCAGACCCATCTCTGCAGGAATCCAAAATAGTCCCTGATTTCAGTGGAGCCAACTATCACTAGACGATTCCTTCTCCTCACACTCCCTTTTTTTAAGGTTCTAGAATGCAACCTATTCCCCACCATGCCCATCCTACAATGATTTCCTTCTTCGTGCAGGAAAGGAAAGTAGATGAGGAGAAGTTAATGGCTCACATTCCACTCTTCTCATCCACCCTTTCCACCTCCTAGTGCCCAGCAGAAGTTAGGGGAAGTGACAGAGCAGAGTGACCACTGAGCTTCAAAATATCAGTCTAGTACCTGATAACCCCTGCTTCCCCTCTCCTACGCCTTGCCCTCCCTCCCCACACCAGGATAACCGAGGCAGTGCCTGCCCTGAGCCACAGGAGTCAGCAGGATGTATAGCAACCAGAAGTGCAGCTGCTGACGGGGGACAGTTACCTGAACAAATGGCTGCTCGTAACCCGATCTGACAGTCCCTTTGTGAAGCACAGGCCTGGGAAGCTGACGTGTGATACAGGGTTTCAGAAGGCTGTCCTAGCGTGCTCCCCATGGCCGCTGCCCTGTTTTAGTGGTTAAAGTATTATGCCACGTGTAGCTACATCCTTTACACACTCACCACACACACACACACACACACACACACACACACACTTATAACAAGCATTTTTTCCACATTACCCAGAATTCTATTCGCAAACTCCCCCCCCCCCCTTTTATTAGTCACAT